ACAGAAACATGGTGAAAAGATGAAGAAGAGGATGACGAGGGGCTGGGTCTTCAGTTCAGTTTGCACTCCAATTACCTTTAAAATGAAAAGGCAGCAAGATTTCACAGGAAGCCTTAGATATTCTCAATTTTTCTCAACGCTCCACATTTATTTCAACAACGTTTATTTTAGTTAGTGCTATACATAAAATACGATGGGAATTAGGGGTCAAATGTGCAACATAAGGTAATATTAGAGTGTTAAACCTAGAAAATCAATTAGAAATTACAGTCAAGTTTAAGAGCTGAGTATTTATTTGGTTCATTTAAAAGACGAGCTGCAGCAGACCTGCAGATCTCTGGGATGTGTGGGGCATAAAACACAAACAGGATGTGGAGAGTATGAACTGTTTAAAAAAAAAAAGGCTTACTGACAAAGTCCTCCTTTTGTACTCACCACGTTGACGGCATCACACAGACGCTCAGAGGAGACGGGCTGCCTGATGGAGGGGCAGAGCTCCTGCAGCAGCATCAGTGACTTCAGGCCTTCTGCAGTGCAGTCGGCCACAATCCAACCACAGTCACGGGTACTGAAAGGGAAACCTCCCTGAAACAAATGCAGTGCATGCTTTACTTATGCACATAAGCTAAATTTAAGACAGTTTATGTTTTGTCAAAGGACATCCGAGTGATTTATTTAACAATGATAAATAAACTGGTTAAAAGCGACTGCAGGGTGATAATATCTGTACCTTATTCATCTGTCTGTAGTACTTCTGATATTGAGGAGGATTCTCTGGGATCTGTAAGAGCGAAAAACTGGTCAGCCATTTAAAATAAACATTTTTTTAAAGTGTCAAAATAAAACCCATCGTGATGAAGTCTTGAAACTTGGGGCCATCTTAGAAGCTCATGCAGCATGTTTTTGTCCCGTTATCTTAAAACATATAATTACATTTCAATGTTCATCAGGACACAGAAACTGCATGTTTAAATCACCAGTCAAATCGGATTAAAATCACTTATCTGCAAACGTTTCTCTAAATAAAGTTTTAAAAAACCCTTTTTCACTAAAAGGTATTACTTCTATCATCATCATTGCTGTTAGGGAATTCACCCATAGATTATAATTCAGGATTCTTTGATTTCTGGAAGAAAAACTCAAATATACTAAAACAATGTGGTTTCTGGTTTCCAACTTTACTGTTTAGGTGAATTATCCCAATCAGAAGCTAGTTTTTCAGATTATTCAGACCCCACATAAATATGCAAAGAGCACAAAAAATATGTTTTCATTATGAAAGCCATTCGGTGGATAAAGTTCATCTCCTTGCTGTACCTGTGTGATAGTGAGAAACTGATGGGCGTCTCGAAGGCATTCAGCTAGTTTTGGGTCGTCCTGAGCTCCTGCCTGGAAAAAACAAAACAAAACTGCAACACACAAAACTTTCTGAGTAGTTTTCCTGATGTGTTTTTATGTCAAACACAGCACTAAAACAGCTCTTCTCAAGGTCGTCTTGATCTCGGACTAAATTACACAGGTAACATTTCTGTTACCAGATAATATTTATTGACAAAGTTGATTGTGACGTCCCATTTAGGACTATGTGTTGGCTCAGTGTTTGACTAGTTCAACTCTCATCAAAATTTACTCACTGATTTCATATGTGAGTTTCTCAGGGCTCAATTCTGGGTACACGGCTGTGTCTGAGTACAATAACGTGCATTTTACCTAAATTTAGAAGCAAAAAGTTATCCAGGTCATATCTTTAAGACATTGCTGTCTGTTTTCTGGCTTCATGGATAGATAGAGTTGGGTGTCATCTGCATAGCAGTGAAAACGTATGCTGTGCCTTCTAATGATGCTGCCTAAGGGAAGCACGTATAATGTAAACAGAATTGGTCCTAGCACTGAACCCTGTGGAACTCCATAACTAACCTCAGTGTGTGAAGAGGACTCTCCATTTACATCAACAAATTGGAGTCTATTAGATAGATATGATACAAACCACTGCAGTGCAGTACCTGTAATACCTACAGTATGCTCTAATCGCTATAATAAGATATTATGGTCAACGGTATCCAACGCTGCACTGAGGTCTAGCAGGACAAGCACAGAGATGAGTCCACTGTCAGAGGCCATAAGAAGATCATTTGTAACCTTCACTAAAGCTGTTTC